GCTTGTTGAAATTTGCCCTCCTAAAATCCAGGGCCGCTGCTAAATGAATCCCTCTGGGTGACTCTGGCCATATCTTCCTATGTTTTTAATAAGGGTCTCATAAAAATAAATAATTACACAAAATGTATTGCAGGGGTAGGGTTAGTATTTCTAATTAATAGACCACTTTTTCTATATGCTAAACTTTCATTTATCCCATATTTTATTTTGCCTAAAGAATCAGAAACTAGTACACAGTAGGCTCAGCACTGCACAAATAGTGACCTGTTGGATTAATTGTATGTAGTTTTCTGTACATGATTTCTGTGCAATGAATTAGAAGCTTGTCTTCTCCTGGTCTGATTCTGTGCCATCCTTGCTAATGCTGAGGTTATTCAGTGCAGTATTGAAACTATCCTACCATGTAATGTACCACTAGTATAATAGCAACAGATTTAGTTTTTCAGTTACTTGTATTTACAGGAGTTGTTGGGTTGGGTTTTTTTAACAATTTGTATGGATGTGCACATTCTTTAAAAACTCTTCTGATAAAGATTCTCTTCATAGTGAGTTCCAGGGCATTACTTGTGAAAATATACAGCCTTGCTGAGGCTTTAGGAAAAGAGACACTTGCAAATGCACAGGAGAAAATTGCATTTATCAGCTTTTTTATAAGATGAAAAGTGAAACAGTCTAACTTGGAACACAGAAATAACAGCTCATCTTATTCTTTGAACTGATTGCCAAGGAACTAATGGGCTCATGACGTTTTATGGTGATGCTATTATATTTTGCTGCAAACAGCGGCTTTTTTGAGAAATGTAGAAAGAGGGTTTTTTTCCTAAAGTAGTAAAAAGCTGAACTTTCATTTTCAAGTCCAATATCAATTTAAAACATCTGCAGTATACCTTATTGTGTGAACTAGCAGCTAATGATTTCACAAGTATTGAAGAAAATGCTGAAAACTACTGCATTTTTTCTATGTACCTGGGCATTTCAGAGTTTACCGTCATCTTCGTTTTCACTATGTCACTGTTGAATATTGAATTAAAATGAGTAAGTGAACAGCCTTTCTCTAAAGCTATTTAAACCATTTTATGAAGGAAATAGTCCTTGGATGCGAACCTTTTGCTTCTGTGTCCTTTTGAATCATGATGAAGGGCTCCAGTTGATTCCTAATTGGAGATATGTCTTCATCACAAAACCTGCAATTGTTTTCCTTCTGATGATTTGAGAAGGGAGGCCAAGAACTAAATGAGAGCTGGATTATCTTCTTACCTGTAGACGAAGCTCAACCCTTGCTGGTAGTTAAGGTGTAATCTGTCATCTCCACATCCTGTAGATCCAGTAGATCAGAGGTGTTCAACCGTGAGTAGTGGCAGCATTAATTGCCATGGTTTTCAGAGCCGCAGCAATTAATGCCGCCACCCCTCCCGCCACCAGATTTCAGACCTGTTGATATCCACACAGCCCCACACACTGGCACGTGGGGTTGCTCTATGGCTGGATCCAGTGAATTGCAGTGAGGTGGCACATAGGTTAAGTTATGAATTATAAATGCAGAATGAATGCTGAAGAAGTTAGAAGTCACCAAAATGCAAAGCTTGAACATTTCACAAAATCACGTGGCAGTGTGTTTCTTTCATTTATTTTTTGTATTTTTCCAAAGCAGAGTAGTCTACACACAAACAATTGTTTCCTTTAAACATCTTTTTTTTTAAAAAGCAAATTATTTTAATGCAGGGTAATCAGTCCAATGGAAAACACAATAAAATATAGGGCACAGTTTGTGCTATGCTGAATAAATTTGATTCAAAGTACATGGTAAATGAATAAGTCTTTAACTTGTCAGATGACAGGGAATATGTGTTCTTTATTCATTACCCCGTTGGAAAACCATTACAAATTATTTACACATTCATGTACAAGGGTTATGCAAAATATATAAATAATTGTGTTGTACACATTTGGTTATATTTTCACACAACTACATTAGTATTCTTTAAGTTGTTAATCTATTGGTAGCAGCGGATTATATCATTCTTTTTTGTAGAAAAGACAGACATTAGAAATCTCTTTTCTATTTGCATTCTTGTAATTTAATCTGTTTGAAATGTCCTTTGTTTACCTTCTATAGTTCTTGTCAGTTCATTTTATCTTCCATGTTCACACAGAGGTGTTAAAATTACATTTATTTTCCTAATCGTTCTCCATTTGGAATAGATTAGGATGTGTGAGACCCTAAAATGTACATTACTCTTAGTGGTGGTTTTATTTCCATTTATTTTTTTCTTCCATAAGATATGTGGACTCAGGATAAAATTTTATTTTACTATTTCTCTGTGTAGTGGAAAGGTTTGTTGCTGTCACTGTAGGCATGTACACGAACTCGCACATACACAGCTCTTTTGAAATTGCACAAAGATAGCAACTTTGTGGTGGGAAAATGCAGCAAAGATCAGACATACAAATAGCTGTATTTAAATAAATTTGAGACTTTAGTGAAAGTACATATATTAAAATGGTTTAAAACTAGAGCTTTACAGCTCTGCCTAGTGGCCTAAGAATGTAATGTTACATATCAGCTGGTAAGTCCAAGTCTTGGACACTGTTAAGTAGTTTTTCAGTTGAGGTTGTTTAAGGTGATGTATCACTTTCCATGGCAATGTTGAGGCTATAACAGTGTAAAATCAGCATTAGATTGGTGGTTTAATAATGCTTTTCAGCTTTTTTGTTGCTGAAATCAATGTAACAGTGATAAATAGCTGTCTTTGGGTTACAATAGCCATTTGTTGTGTGTGTGTTCAGCACCCAGCTGTTTGGGGACCAATCCTGGTTGAAACCTTCAGGTGTCATAACATGAATGACAAACAATAACAAAACAAATGTAATCTAGTTTGGTCTCACTTTAGAAAGTTAGGGCAATTTGTTTTGGAAAGGGAAGACCTTTTGATAGAGTTCTGTAGGCTGTAACTGGGATGAAACTACTTTAATTTTATATCAATTACTTCTGAAGTTCTAGAACTGAATAGGAAATAAGACCCTTTCTGCAGCCAGGACATTTTTTGCACCAGCAAAACTAAGTACAGACAGTCAAAAAGCCCAAGGCTGAATTGATTCAGTCTTTGCAGCAGAGATTCAATTGAGAAACAACTGAACACAAATTCACTTTTGATTCAGGAAATGCAGCCACATGCCTGCAGTGGCTCAGGCCAGAGGCTGGGGGTGCTAGAGCACAGCTGTCTGGCATGTAGCCAGCATCGGCTGTGTGTTCACTTCCTCTTCCCGCTGCCCTTGAGGTCTCTAGGATTTGCAGTCCAGAATCATAGACACAGGACTCTGCAGGGTTGCTCATCACTTCCTCTTCCTACTTCCAGGTGCCTCTGGGATTTGTAGTCCACAATCGCAGCCAGCAGTAGCTTTCAGTAAGTTTAGCAGGGCAGGGCAGCTTTGTACTCCAGGGAAGCTGGGTATAGCCAGGGGAAGGTGGAGTTTAACCTCCTTTCCCTGGCCCCAGACACAAGCCAGGGTTTGTCAGGGGTAGTCCCTACCTCCCTTCCCCACAACCCTTCTTCTAGAGCAGACAGCACAGCACAGCCCAGGAATGAAAAGCATGCTGGGAGACTCTGATTTAACTTAAACCAGAAAGGGGTCTGGAACAGAAGATTCATAAACTGGTTTGACCCAAATCAGTTAAGTCTGATACTACATTTAACCAGGTTTATCTTAAACCAGTTTCAACCATTTTGCACTAAACTTCTGTTCTGTTACAGGTTTAAAGGAGTTTCTGATCACTTAAATCAGTTTACATGTAACTTCTGTCCCTAGCCCTGATATCATCTTAACCCCACACATTTAGGTTTTTGTTACCGCACAGTGAACTTGGGCCATTGTCTGGCTTGCTGGCACTTTCAGCAACAGGTATATTTTGTTGTTCTTCTCTATTTCTGATATTACACTGAATACAGCTTTGAGAGGGACATCAGCATTGGTCAAATGATAAAAAGGATATGCTAATAGCCTTGTTAAAAAGCAGATTAACACCTCACGGGGATAAGAGGTGTTAAAATTGGTCTGTTGAATACTAATTGCTTAAATCTGGAAATTATCTGGCAAATAAAATATTTCTATATGGAGAATTAAAGATAGCAGGATAGATCAAGCTAGTATACTGAAACAAACTAGGTCAGAACCAAAGGTCCACATCCAGACTCTGGGAAGGAGACCAAACTTTAAACCCTGACTTGCACTAAATGTTTCCGTATGTCATGTTTATTTCAATCATGTCAATATTTGTGACACAATTTAAAAATGACAAGAATGTGGTAATAGTTTTCTTATAAATCACAGCAATCTCTTTTTTTGTTTTTTAAAGGGAAGAAAGTGCATATGGGAGGCACATGTCACTAGGTATGTGAGGAGGGCTATTGAGATTCTTTGCAGAAATGAGGAAATAACTGAAAAAATTATGGTTAATTCTGCCAAAAGCTTGAAATTTACAATATGAATATTATTAAAAAGCAAAGCTATAAATCTAATGGTGTTTGCCAGCCTTTAGGTCACTGTTAAAGTTCCACACAGGATACAGAGTCCTACATAAAAGAAAGCAACAGGCTCACTAAAACATAAAAATACTCATTGTACTCTGGTTGACATTATTTCTCTGGACTCATGGATCACTATAGTTTCTTTACTAGGATGCTCAATAACACAAAGTCACAGGTTGAAACTAGGTATTTGTTACTAAGGTAAACACAATCACTCTGCTACTTCTGGGGAATATTTTCCTGTCATTTGGACAGTTGCACAGTAATTCTTGAACCAAGCCTTCACTGTAGGAGGACATACTGGAATAGCTATATTGGAATACCTAACATGAGATACACATTTGGTGTAAAACCCTAGCAGGAGAGAAGGCATTGTAGATTTTATCTTGCTGTTGGTACATCTCTCACAGGGGGAACCAACTAGCTGAAATTATGTGAAAATTACAGCATGTCCACACTAGGATTTTACATCAAATGTCTTTCTCCTTTATTCTGTTTCAGTGTAAAAATACATATTTTCTTAGCAATAAGGACATAGCCTTGAAGTAAGTGGAGCTTCTCCAGATGTGTACAAATGCAAACTTCAAGTCAGAATTTGAACCATTCACATATGGAAGAGTTTATTTTGACTCATCAGGCAATGTGAATATAATGCCACTCCACTTTTTTTTTGTTTCATTCATCCTTTAAGAGCCTTCCCTCATGTGAGTACATTATTGATCTATGATCAAATGCTCTCCACAGTTATGACAGTTTCCACTGTGTATGTGCAAGTCTGTATGCATGGGTGGAAAGCAAGTTTATGTCTTTACACATATATAGTAAATGACCGTGCAAAGCCAAACCACCTGAACTCAGCTCAAATGGAGAGATAATTCTTGTTTCCAAATTATGCCAAAGAAAAAGAGTATTAAGGAACAGGGAGCTGATCTTTTTTACTTTAGAGAAATAAAAAAATAGCATTACTTCAGGACAAGTTCTCATTCATATCTGTACTTACTCTACAAATAGGAGTGTGAGCAAACAACCCAACCAGGTCAAGGTGGAGATAGCTAAGTTTGTGAATGGGATTATGTGATCTGGTTGCCTGAGATAAGAGAACTGAACTCCATAATGCTATGTCTTATGTTCCTATTTTATGGGGACTATTCAGGAGGTAAGGTATTACTTGATCAGATTCTTAAATGATGTAAAATGGCATAACATTAAAGTACTCCAAATTTTGAGAGCAGAGGAAAGCTAGGGTTGATATGTGTAAGGGTATCACAATGTAGCGTTCTATAATTGACCTTGAAGCGCTCTGTATTTAATCTGCATGATATGCTAGATAGCCTCTGTTAGAGTTGAACTGAGAAGTTGCTTGTTCTTCTTAATACCATGTTTACCATCCCTCGAAGTCACCAGTGATAGTGATGCTTTCAGGAGTGAGGCTGCAACATAAGCACTGACTGAGCTCATGCTATTCAACAGATGATTATTTATGGCATCTTTAGTGATAGATTTGAACTGGACTGTGCACCTGCCTGTGGGACAAAAGGAAAAGAGGGAAACATTTCTCTGAACCTCTGTCAGGTACCTGTATAAACTACCAGGTCCTTGGGTCAGGTATATTGGAGCTGCCTGCAGGTGCTTCCATCCCGGCGTATTCCTTTCCCAAGCCAAGCGGGAAAAGGGACAAGAGGGAACTTGGGACTGTGCAGAGTCAAGGTTTTCCTCTTCCCCCTAACGTACTATCTAGGATAATTGAGCTGGCACAGAGTAGAGGTGTATGTTGCTCATATCAGGCAAGAATTTTTTATTATTGCCCTGGAGCAAAGGAGAGACAGGGAGGGAATTGTGCCTTTGAGGGGTGTGGTATGGTTGTCAGTGTCTACTATTAGATAAGCTTTCACAGCTCTAATTGCTGCTGTGCCAGAAGACACAGTGTGTCCCTTTGTGTTCATCAGATGCCAAGGGATCTCGCATGTGTGCGTTTTGCAGACTTCACTTACTTTCTGTGTCAGTACCAATTCTGTCAAAGGGTTTTCTGAAAGGCCTCTCACTGTAGGCATTAATATCAGTACCAGATGGTCTTTTCACCACTGTTTTCCTCTTTTCTGCATGAAATAAGTGGGGTGTTGGTATTATTTTACAAAACATACTGGCCCCTCTACACGTTACAGGTATTGTGCAATTAGCTGGAGACCAGCTACACATGCAAAGTACTAGGGCTGTGTGAAGCTTCGATCCCTGAATCAGAACCCTCCCAATTGATTCGGAGATTCAGACTCTTCTGATGAAGATTCTTTTCATAGTGAGTTCCAGGGCATTATTTGTGAAAATATACAGCCTTGCTGAGGCTTTAGGAAAAGAGACACTTGCAAATGTACAGCAGAAAATTAGCGGAAGTGCTTCTGGTCCACTTCCAGGTCTGCTGCTGAACACGCTGGGGAGCCGCCCCGCACTTCTGTGGGACACTCCATGCGCCCCAGCATCACAGCACTCATGAGCCCCTGCTACCTAGAGGTATGAAGAAAAAACATTTAAAGCTGTGACTATGTCCGAATCACTGATTCTCCACATCAACATCGAATTTTCAGTTTCAGATTCAGCAGAATCAAATCAGGGACAGGGATCCAAATCAACGAATCAAATCACTGTCCCTGATTTGTGCCGAATCTGAATCGAATAGGGCCCACTTTCCACGCTCCTACAAAGTACCTATCACAAAATAAAAAGCTCTAACCACAGCTATAAATTTAGACCTTGAAAATGTGTACTAACTTTATAACTAGTTGCATTTGAGCTTTAATTTGCACATGTAGCAGGGTCTGCCCTGCATCTGGGAGCCCCAGCAGCTGACAGGGGTCCCAGCTTCAGGGGTGCACCATGCCTAGCTGGGGCTGCAAGTCCTGTAACTAAGGAGACTCTCAACCCCAGCAGCTGCCACTCTGGGTCCCAGGTGTACAGGGACCCAGAGTCCTGCAGCTACAGATGCTGGGATCCAGCAGGGTCCCAGCAGCCAGGGGGAGTGACTGCCCCCAGGGTGCATGAAACCCACAGGACTGGGGGATGTGGCATCTGCTATCTCCCAACCCTGGGGGTGCATGGGGTGCCCCCACAGCTGGGAGCTCCTCAATTAAGGGGG